GCGTGATCCCCACGCTGTTCCCAGCTCCGGAAGGCACTGCTGTTGAGGTGGTGTCTGTCAGGAGCAAGCCCAGCGCCAGAGCCACAGCAGGCACCACTTCCCTGGAGACCAAGGCCACCTCAGTGGGGCTCAGCATGAGGCTGTCCCCCCGTGCAGCTCCCGACGGCCATGGTGATCCCTCTGTGGGGTCCTTTGTGCACTCCATAGGGTCTCTGCTGCCCCAAACCCCTTCAGCAGGCCCTGAGGCCACCACGGCAGAGGCTGGTGGATCCCCTCCAGCCAGACCCAGCACGGCCACATCCTTGCCCCTCGTGGGCACTGGTGGAGCAAAGCCAGACGGGGCCCCTCGAGCCACTGCAGCACCAACATCCTCCCTTGGTGAGTATGGCATCGGGACTGGGCCAGCTGCCCATCCCTCCTCCCCTGGTAGCCACACTCCGATTAGTGAAGCAGGGATGGGAGCAGCCTCGTTGGACAGTGATGATGCCACGGCAGTGCTGTGGGACAGCGGAGCCACCCTGGCTGTGCCTGATGGACCTCCCAGCCGCAGCCAGCCTGGTCCCACTGTGGGCTCAGCACCCCTGGGAACTGCTGTTACCCCTGGACCTGCACCAGCCCCACTGCTCCAGTCTGGGTCCCAACGTGGGGCAACTCCAGGGACAGAGACGTGGTCACCCAGTGCTGCACGAGGTATGGGCATAGCAGTGCCAGGTACCTCAGGGATACCGAGACCAACCAGTGCCCCCTCTCTCCTGGAAGGCAGTGCCACTGGAGGGATAGCTCTGGCAGTGTCCCCATCCGGCAATCCCCAAGAGATGGCAGCAGGCGCGTTCCCACTGTCCCTGGCCACCCCACTGCCCACAGTGGGTGCATCAGGTGACCCCCGCCCTGATGGCAGCACCACGGGGCAAACAGTGGGGACAGCATCCCTGGAGATGGGCACGGAGGAGAACCCAGGTGCCAGCACAGCAGGACCAGCTCCCAGCCACGCAATCATCACCACCGGGCCACCACAGGAGCCCCCTGCCCATGGGACCAATGGTCCCAAAACCAGGCCCCCAGCAGATCAGCATCTCCTGGCTCCCAGGGACAGTCGCTCGGCCCCACCGGCTGTGGCGACACCCAGTCAAGGGCTGGCCACAGCGAGCCCACTCCCCAGCGTCACCGCAGGCAAAACAACCCAGCCTATGAC